AAAGCATTCAATCACAAAAATACTGGAAGAAATTGTTGGCAATGACTGTGATGGTACACGTATTGCGTAGCTTTCATGAATACAGAGCTGTTCGACCTTTCGCTGGAGAAAATGCTTCTTCTCTATACACTAGAGCTGTTGGAAAAATCGACAAATCGGGGCCAACTCAGCAAATTAATTGGTTCTGATTGTCTAGCGAATAAGACTCAAAAATGCCTATGCATCATTCGTGTTCCTAGCCATTTAGTTATATCCTGCTGTGCTTTATAAAAGCAATCTTCCTTCAGAGTGGACTGCAGTTCCGAATTTGTATAGGTCTCATCCGTACCCACAGTAGGGATATCATATCATTGTGAGAGAATCAACTATCAGTCCTTTATCACTTACACGACCTAGGGTGAAGGAAACTCTTGTTCAAGATTCCTTGATATTCTCGAGCACCTACTTATTTGAACATAAGTAACGTAGTGATATGATATCAAAATTATGCATTGCTCTACAAGGGTTTACGTCACACTCTGGGTGTTGATGAGTCATAGGTGAGATCTAAACTGCAGTCCAGTCCATCCTGAATGATAATACATTTCAAGAAACAAAACTAAATAGAAATTAGTGGAAACGGGAGGCCCACTCATATGAAGGTGGGAAAATTTAACTATAAGTCCTTCATCACTTTATACGACCTAGGGTGACTGAAACTCTTGTTCAATATTCCTTGATATTCTCGAGCACCTACTTATTTGAGCATAAGCAACGTAGCGATGTGATATCAAAATTATGCATTAATCTACAAGGGTTTACGCCACAATCTGGTTGTTGATGAGTCATAGGCGAGATCTAAACTGCAGTCCAGTCCATCCTGAATGATAATACATCTCAATAAACAAAACTTAATGGAAATTAGTGGAAACGTGAGACCTACTTATATGAAGGTAAGGAAATTTAACAATCAGTCCTTCATGACTTTATACGACCTAGGGTGACGGAAACTCTTGTTCAAGATTCCTTGATATTCTCGAGCACCTACTTATTTGAGCATAAGTAACGTAGTGATATGATATCAAAATTATGCATTGATCTACAAGGGTTTACGTCACACTCTGGGTGTTGATGAGTCATAGGCGAGATCTAAACTGCAGTCCAGTTCATCCTGAATGATAATACATTTCAAGAAATAAAACTAAATGAAATTCAGTCCAAACGTGAGGCCTACTCATATAAGGGTGGGGAAATATAGCTATCAGTCCTTCGTCACTTTATACAACCTCTGGTGACTGGAACCCCTATTCAAGATTTACGATAATTCGGCTGATATGCTCAAGTCAGTAAAATTTTCCTTCTTGATTGCCTACACTAGAGCATTCTGGCCACTCTTTTGAATCAATGCTACTTTCTTATTGAAGTAATATTCCAGAATGCTGGAAGTCTTAAAATAATAGTGTCTCTAAATTATACTTTACTTCATATACTATTTATTAAAATGTAATGCATTCCTCTTCCGTCAATTTTTAATTGCAGCTATTCCATTTATTTGATTCATAAGCTCTCCGTGCTAAATTGTGTTGGTGAGACATGTTTACATTAATTCACCCCTCATTTATTCCTTCAGACTATCTTTTATTAGAAATATTTGCTGAATCCTACTAATTTAGTTAATGAGATTAGCCTAAGCCTTATTTCACTGATCAAGTGTTTGTAGAGAAGTATAAAATCTAAATTAGGTCAAAATCTTACTCGTTTCTGGATGATTTCAAACGTTTGATACTGAAGACAATCAAAGTAATGGAAAGCAATTCAGGCCTATAAGCCGTGATCCACTAGGCTTGAAGATTTACATTGCAGATCTTCTGTCTCCGTAGGGTATGAAGTATGAGCACTGGTTTATGATTCGACTTTTTATTTCGAGGAAAAGATTAGTGGAAAGAGATTCGTGAATTAGTCGCGCCGGAAACCGAAGGAGGATTCCCTTGGAGGAGAGAAGACTATTGGAATGTGTGAAGGAGTCCACGGTTCACCGCTCTTAGGCCTTGATGAATCCATATCAAGCCCTTGCCTATCATGTGATGGGTGTAATCAGAACGAGAAGCCGTATTTTCCCTAAGAACCGCTCTG